CCCGGGCCCCCACCCGCAGGCCGGGCAGGCGAGCCCCAGCCTGGAGCGGGCCCCCCGCCTCCCTGACTTGGACACCAGAGAAGGTACCAGGCACCACACGGCCTCCATCCACACACGCTCTCCTCCCCTAACTGGGGTCTCTCACCGCTGCCAGGCCCATCTCACCGTCAGGCCCTGCCCGGGGGAGGCCTGACCAGGGAGGCCGGAGGCTTGGGCTGGGGAGGAGGCAGAGGGGTTAGAGTTGGCTGGGGGGTCAGGACCAAGGGCCTGTGTGTGCGGCGAGCAGGCTGCGGGCGGAACACAGGGGAGTCCTGACCCCCACCAGGGGCTACGTACAGAGTAGCTGCTGCATGCAGCCATCAAGAAGTCACTTTCTAACCCTTATCTGGAGCTAGGGCGGTTTCCCCAGCCCCGAGTGGGAGCCAGGATTTGCACCCAGGCCTTGACACTTGGCCTGCAGGCTCCCAGGTGCTGAGGGGACATCAGGCCTTGCCTTGGGGTTCACCCCGGCAAAGCCTGTCACGGGCCTGAGGACTGCAGGGCAGATGGGGGGGACAAGAGAGGCCTGAAGAGGACAGTGACGGGGCCCAGGGCAGGGAGGCGGCAGGATCCACGACAGGACCAGGGAGAGTCCTGCCTCCTAGCCGGGATTGTCCCCTCCCGCTAACTCCACGTGCCCCTTCCTCACGGACTGCATGCTCTCCACGGAGCCTCCCCGCCCTCATCCCCAGGCCTTCGGGCTGCTCGCATGCTATCCCAGAGTCCTGTGCCTTCCCCGCTCCTTTCGGTCACCCGGCCAGGGAGGAGGAGGAAGCTCGCTTTGGCTGCAGCCCTGGTTCCCCCGTCAGAGGAGGGTCTGGTCTTTGGGCTGAGCCAAGCCTGAGGGGCCTGGCACCCTCCGAGGGCAGCCCGGTCAAGGCCCTCCCCCTGGCAGTTGCAGCAAGGTGGTGGGGCCAGAAGCGGATCGACTATGCCTTGTACTGCCCCGACGCTCTGACAGCCTTCCCCACCGTGGCCCTGCCCCACCTCTTCCACGCCAGCTACTGGGAGTCAACGGATGTGGTCTCCTTCCTGCTGAGACAGGTACCCGGGGGCCCACCGCCAGGAACCCCCGGGCCTCACATGCGGACCAAGTAATAGCACCACTGACATGGCCCCAGTTCGTAGACAAGGGCAGTGGGGGCTCCCCTGAGACCACAGAGCAAGCAGGATGGAGGAACGCTTGCCGACGTTGGGATGGGGTGAATGTATGCACACGTTCATCAGACATGTGACTTGGGGGACCAGAGAGTGGACTGTAGTGGGTTGAAGAGTGTCCCCCAACCCTTCACGGTCTCCCATTTCTGGCTCCGAGGGCCACTGGCCTCCCCCTCCTAGACCAGGCAGTCTTGAGATGGCCCCGTGGCCTGCTGCTTCCCCTCAGGTCATGAGGCATGACAATTCGAGCATCTTGGAGCTGGATGGCAAGGAGGTTTCGGTGTTCACCCCCTCAAAGCCAAGAGAGAAGTGGCAGCGCAAGAGGACTCATGTGAAGCTTCGGGTGAGGGGGCCCCCCACATCCGCTGTCCTGCTGAATCCTCACAAGACACCCTATTACAGACGAGGGGACCGAGTCACAGAGTCACACGCTGTCTTACTTAATCCTCGGTCTGTGAGGTTGGAGCTGTTACCCCGTTAATAGGCAGGGAGGTGCACGAAGGCCACATAGGTCAAGTGGCTGAGACGGACTTGAATTTGGGCCATCCGGTTTTAAGCCCCGTGCTCACCCACCAGGCCCAGGAGATCCTAGCCATCCTTCCCTCCCCTACCCTGACCCAGCCTCGCTCCTCCTGTCCCCAGAACGTGACCGCCAACCACCGGATCAACGATGCAGTCGCCAACGAGGATGGCCCGCAAGTTCTGACGGGCCGGTTCATGTATGGGCCCCTGGACATGGTCACTCTGACTGGGGAGAAGGTGAGGACCTGGGGAGGCTGCAGGAGCTTCTGCCTGGCCTCCCGCTGGCTAGGGAGTGGAGGCTGGGGAGGCCGGCAGCCCTGGCCCCTTCCTGACCAGCTCGCCTGGCCCCCCAGGTGGACGTGCACATCATGATGCAGCCGCCCTCGGGCGAGTGGCTGTACCTGGACACGCTGGTGACCAACAGCAGCGGGCGGGTCTCCTACACCATCCCCGAGACCCACCGCCTGGGTGTGGGCGTCTACCCCATCAAGATGGTGGTCAGGTGAGCCCGCCGCTGGGGAGTGAGCAGGCCAGGCCGGCCACCTCTGGGACAGGAAGGAGGAGGTCTGGCGGGTTCTGATGAGCTCCCCCACCCCGCCGCAGGGGAGACCACACGTTTGCGGACAGCTACATCACCGTGCTGCCCAAGGGCACGGAGTTCGTGGTCTTCAGTATCGACGGCTCCTTTGCTGCCAGTGTGTCCATCATGGGCAGCGACCCCAAAGTGCGGGCCGGGGCCGTGGACGTGGTGCGGTGAGTGACGCCGAAGGGCACTTCGGGCTCGGGGGCGGGAGGCTCCTGGAGGCCAAGCTGGGGAGGGCTTTGGGACACCTGGCAGGGGCTCACGGAGTCAGCACCGCCACCGTCTGCCTGTGTGACCTCTTGATGTGGATGCCTCAGTTCCTCAACCTGAGCAGTGGGGCTCCTGACGAGACCAGTTACACCTGCTGCCGAGGGCATCCATGGGGACTGGGCGACCTGGTGGACTCTCCTCGCCGCGGCTACTGTTTCTGCTGAGCCCGATCAGAGACGCGCTCTCCAGCGGCCCAAGGAGAGGCTGGCGGGGCGAGGAGACGGGGTGGCCCAGGAGGGAGGCCGGGGCGACCGTGGGACACCCAGGCCTCCCCGCTTCGCCCCCAGGCACTGGCAGGACCTGGGCTACCTCATCATCTATGTGACGGGCCGGCCTGACATGCAGAAGCAGCGGGTGGTGGCGTGGCTGGCCCAGCACAACTTCCCCCACGGCGTGGTGTCCTTCTGTGACGGCCTAGTGCATGACCCGCTGCGGCACAAAGCCAACTTCCTGAAGCTGCTCATCTCCGAGGTGGGTCCCAGGCGGAAGGGCTTGGCGGG